TGTACCAACAACATGCCACAAGCACTTCATACGATACTGGGCCCTCCTCCTGTGGTCTGCATCAGTTCAGTAAAGGTGAGGCATGCACATTATAAGACTGTACCCTCCTACTGCAGCTTGTGACTGTCCAGTAGAGTTGAGACAAAGACATTCTAAGATATGTGTCCTCCTCCTGCAGGCTGTGATTGTCCAGTAGTGTCAAGGTGAGCATGCAACACTATCCTATGCCCTTGTCCTGTGGTCATGTCTATTCAGTAGAGTTGAGGTGAGCACTTACTAACAAATCATGCCTTCCTCCTGCAGTGGAAGACTGTCCAGTTGAGTTAACTTCCACCATATCAACATGGAATTCTAGCTTTCTGTGTGCATTTGTTTATTGCCTCAGAAGTTAACATTTTTCCTACTTGAAAATGTTTTTCCGATAGAAACATCTTCACACACACTCCTCCCCATTTCCGATTCACTTTAGACAGACTTGCCTCATTAAAATGAATATTCGCGAGTCCAAAAGCATAGAGTTAGCATGCAAGGAGATTGTGTTGCTCTCCTATTGGTAGAGGGCTTTTGTTGCATAATAACGTCATTATGCAGTAGCACTATTCACAAGACAACTTGTGAGATAGGTGGGAGTTGCCTAAAGCTAGTGGCATGCAAGTCTCTAAGACAGATGCATGGAAGAGATAGCTTTTTGTGTGAAGCTGCATCTATGGAAAATACATTTTCAGATAAGGAAATCGTTAGTATTCCTTACTACACTTTATCTTAAGTTTAGTTTACGTTGTTTTTTTTAAAAGAAAAACATAACTTACAGTTACTGATTTGGCAGTATAATATCTTTATCTCTAGGTTCATTCACATCTTATATTCTTTGGCAGACTGCTTAACAATAATTTTCAAATAACATTTAAACATACCTGAAAGGCATTGTTGATGGGACTGTGTATGTCTATGAAGTTTTGGATGGTGTTAGCAGCCTGAAACGCAGTCTATTAACAATGACTTTGGAGCATATTTTTTTCTGTCTGAATCTTTTCACAAACAAGAACATTTAAACAGTCAAATTTCAAAGTATATTGAATTAGTCTAAAGGTTAATAATACACTCTTTTACCATTTAACATTTTTATCGATCTTGATAAATTGTATTGAAAATATTATACTTTTTTTTAAACCTTTTCTAGCCCAGTGGCCTTATACTTTCCATTTATGATTTTGCATTGATAAAATTAATAACTCATAAATGTCAGGCACTTCAAACATAAATGTGATTACTTTGGTAAATTTATAATTTACATTGAAATAAAAAAAACACTGTGTTGCATATAAAATACACTATGCCATTGTGCAATATTTCTATAATTGTTGGTGTGCAAGCCAGGTTTCAAACACTTTTACTAGATATATTGCAATGACAGACCTAATGATATATGCAAGCCTAGTTTTTGAAATAAAATATATATTGTTAATAGTAATACAAATAGATAGTACTTATTTTACTATGTCTTATTTATGAAATTTACTTCTTGTAGAAATGCTCCTAGTGGCACAACGGTATGTCTACAGCCCTACAACGATAGAAACCGGGTTTCGATACCCGTGTTGGGCAGAGCACATATAGCCCGTTGTGTAGCTTTGTGCATAACTACAAACAAACCTTGTAGAAATTGGGAAACATTTTTTTAATTTTTGTTTTTGCATAAGTCTACTTTCACTTCAGCACTTTGATTGTTAGAGTTTTGTGTGTGTGTATATATATAGAATAAGACTCCTTTTTTTGTAATACTGTTTTTATTGTTTCATGAATAATCTGTCATATATTTATTATTGTCTTTAACATTATTTCAGGTGGTCTTTTGATCTGCTTACCCAGAGAACAAGCTGCTGCTTATTGCAAAGACATTGAAAAAACTGAAGGATATCAAGCATGGATCATTGGAATAGTAGAAAAGGGAAATCGAACAGCACGTATTATTGATAAGCCAAGAGTCATCGAAGTTCCTTCTAAAGAAAAAGATGGAGAGCTATGGTAGCATTTTTACCCAATTGTGTACATTAAAGACTGTTGTGGGAGCAAAGTTTTTTTCATTCCATGCCAAGATGTTTTTGCATGTATGGTTGTCCCTTTGTGTTTCAGACTGTTTAGGAAACTACTTTGTAATATGTATCTCCGTACTGATTACAATATTTGATAGATCGTGTGTCAGTCAATAACTTTTCATTCTGCTTAAAGGCCATAGAAATGAATTTGGTTACAGGTGAACCTGAATTGGGCAGCAGGTGTCATCTAGTAGCTATCATTATCAGCCTTTGTGACAGAGCTAATCTTGCTTCTTTTGATCACATAATGATTCTGTTCTGGGAATTCTCATTTTGAGAACCATAATAGATGAGGACTAGTGGTTCAGATGTTGTAAGAAAGTTATTGACATCTTGCTTCTGATAATGTATAGGTCATTGTGAGAAGCTAGAAAATGAAGAGTATTAAAATGTATTGCTTTTTTCTTACATTTTTGTTAGTAGTTTAGTGAAAATGATTTCATGCAATACAAATTTTATAAATTGACCAAATATTGGTACTAAATAAATGCTTTATAAAATGTATATGGTCTGTTTATCTAAACTAAGTATTTCAGTGTACATTTCATTGCATATTTTCTGTTGGAAGAAATATTGTTAAAATGGGGAAAAATTATATGCTGCATAGTTCCAAAATGCCTCAGCCTATATATATGAAACTGGGTATACTTGTATGATTTCAACATTTTAGCATGTTTTACTTTTACTGGAAAATTAAAAATTTACATTATCACTAGAAAAAAAGCTTAATTAGTCCTCAAGTAGTGTTACAGATCAAAGTTATTTAAAAAGCCTACTGATACGAAGACATAGGAAATATTAAAAGCTGCTCAAAAAAAATCTTTCAATCTGGTAACACCATAAATCGTTTAAGGATATAATTTCTATAACATAATGAGAGATAGACCTACAGGTATATATATAAAATGAAATTTATGTATAACAAAGGAGGAAATAATTACTGTAAAAACTGTATGGACACTACATGGTGCCATTGCACTGAAAATCTTAAGCTAGCATGCCTGCAGCCTAACTTTAAATATAAATATTACAATGTATTTATATGCAGTAAACCTTGAGATCTAAGATTCATTAAACTTTGAATTATAAGTAAACAAGAGAACCTTTAAAAGTGAAGATTGTGTGAGGGGATAGTGGTAGTGCAGGTTAGGAAAATCTTCAACTAAATTAATGCAACTAATAAAGAAGGTATTTTTATTGTCACCGTTAAAAAATGTAAAGAACTGAAATATTAAAATTTTTCGTCTTATGAAATTATGCATAACTTGCGTGATATTTAGAACTAGTCTATCGTTGATGTTATGTAATCTTCTGATAATGTCTGCAAATGTGCACAGTGATCTACAAGATTACAAAATATAGTTAGGAGAATTAATAAAGGACCAAGAAAAAGTGAGTTTAACAAGTATGCTGTTGGGAAATAAACTTCTTACTTTGATTAAGTAATTGTAAACACTTTTTATAGCTCTAGCTATTAAACGTTTTGCTTTATTAAGTGTGTGAGCATTGATTAAAAATATAAATCAAGAACTAAGTATTAAAGATCATTTGTTGGCATAACATGATTTTTCATAACATTTTACCTTAAGATGCTAAAAAATTCAGATGTTAGTAACTTGTACAATATACTTAACAACCATTTAAGAACTTCCAGTTCTTCACTTTTATTTTGTTTTTCATCTCGGTAAATACATAATTAGCTAGGCTTATACTTAATGAATACGTAAGTTTTACTGAGCAGCACAAAATCCTAAACTGTGAACATTTGGGTATAGTAGTGTACATTATGATACTCAGTGTTTGATGTTGCTACTTTAAACTGTTCATAAGACTCTTCAGTCAACTTTCTGAATGACATTATGGTTTCACAGCTGACTTTTTTATTGGACCATACTTAGAAAAACCACCAGCATAAGGACTACAGACCTACTTGGTCAGTGTTCACAGTGCCTTCTCCCCCCCCCCCAACCTAAACACCCCATCCCCCACCCACCCACCCCACACACACACTCTGGTGGCTCAGTGATAAGTCAAATTTCAATACCCATGGTGGGCAGAGCACAGGTAGCTCATTGTGTAGCTTTGTTTGAACAACAAACAAAAGTATGTGGCTCATATTGTTTCCTTCCAGCTAAACATTACAAATTTCTACAGATATGTAGATTAAAACAAAGCCCACAACATTGTCCTCTCATGGAATTATGAAGTCCCTTGAACAATTATCTTACATGAAGAAAACAACACATATAACCTCAAATATTGTAATCAACATTAATAAAAGTAACTCTTGAAAATGAATATTGATAAATCTAAGTATTGCAATTATTAACCCACTCGTTTACCATTCTCATTACAGGCAGGTCAAAGTGTGCATGTTATGACCTTTTAGAGAGTTACATATCGGGTTTTTATAGGGCCAGATTCTTTACAGTAGATATCTGTGATTTGTTGGTGATAAATTTAAACAGACAGCACACAATCCACTTGTTTTAAAATAATTTATTCAAAACATGTGTATAAAACTTTGTTACACTATTGCTTATTACAGTTATATCCAAAGCTTTAAATAATAGTCTCTTTTTCATCAAAGTCCACGTAGGTGGATTCAATTACCTTAAAACACTCTTTGACAAGATAAATTATTCTTCTCTACTGTGTTGTTACAACACAATCAGTGATAACTTCACTTTAAAAAGTTGCCACCTTACACACTTTATGACTAAACTCATGATCACTCAGTCTAATTTCACTTTTACTTGAACTTACTTAACTTTCTGTATCTGCATGTATTTGTAACACGTGACAGAAATATCTAGCCCTCTAGTAACAACAATATTAAACATTACGAGAAAGATTTAGAAGCTTTGAGTAAGATGATGTAAACAGTATTACAAAAGCCTAGTACAACAATCAAACTGCACACACAATGTACAACTTGTACAGAGTTGCATGACAGAACTTGTCATAACTATCACTTTTAAAATAATTTACTTTTAACACTTGTTATGAAAACTAAATAATCATTAAGTATTAAAATAATAAATAAACTAAAAAATAACTTAAACTGAACAGTCTTGTATATCAGGTAAATGGTCAATAGAATCCACTAATGGTTCTAGCCCTGGTGATGCAATGTAAAAAATCTTGACTGGAGCTCTAGGTTCTTCAACAGGTTAACTGACTTTTGTCAAAGTTTTCATTGAAGCTAACTATTAGCCATTTTCCCACTGATGTACTTCCAAAAATGATGATGTTTGATTTTTGGTTTGAACTGACTGCCTTTTAAGATTCTGCTCAGTTGCTTTTCAGATTGTTTTTATTATTTTGTACTTCTGTCCTTATCACTGTAAGTTCAACCTCCAGTGCTGTAAATCTTGAGTTGTGAACAAAAAATTCTTGGTCATAGACTGTGAAATTATTTGAAGCAAACTTCTCATCCATGTTTATGCATGAAATTTATTCTAAATAGCTCTTGTAAATTACCCAAACATTATTTAAAATTTAAAAATAGCTAAAATGGGGGAGAAAAAATATATCATTTCAAAATGTTTCACCACTGTTAATGTGGCATCATCAGGTATTTAGCACAGTTGTATACAACACTTAAGTGCACCCAATTGGTGACGTCTACCATATAACCTTGAGCTAGCATAAGTATAAACCTAATTATTTTGTTTTATTTATAATGGCTTCTTTTATTTTACATTTATTAATATTCGGTTCTCAACAAATATTGATAATTTTATTTTCATTACAATATTCTATATCTTTAAAATGTTGGTAGTCATGTGACTGAGCATTTCCATGTTTTGCTATTCTAGTACTTAAATTTCTACCAGCCTTCTCTATATACAGATTATCACAGTCCATTTAATTTTATTTTTAAAGATTATGTTCATCCTTTTTCCTAGTAAAAATTCAAATTTTCCTACAACTGGAAGCTTCAATATCCTATTTATTTATTTCCAAAGCCTTTTTATTGTATTTGATAGGCCAGGAACATAAGAAATTACAAAATAAACCAAATTATCTAAATGATTTTTCCTTTTTTTTTCTATCAACTTGTTAGTTCTTAAGTATTTTTTAACCACATTAATAGGATAATCATTCCTCTTTATCAGTACATTTTTCTGATAATGTACTTCCTTATCCAGCTCTTCCTAGCAAATAATTTAGTAAAATTCGTCTGTATGAGCTAATGTATTTCTTTTTTTACTTTTTTGTTGTTTTTTCGAAAAAATTTATACAGTGTTTTGTGGTATCCGTCACAGTATCATTTCTATGGGACTGTCGCACCCCCTTATATCCGGTCCTAAAATTGCCCATGGAACGTAAGATAAATAGTACTTTGCTGTGTTTCTCAAACTTGTTTGTTTCTTAAAGTCTTTACTTGTTCATAATCACTTTAGCATTCCATACAGCCAAATCTCCAAGTCTCTTGCTATGTGGTGATTGTTTATCTGTGTGACATTATTTGTCTAAATCAAGAATACCACGAATTTAAGGTTTGGTTAACTTTAGAAATAATCTTTTATGTTTATTTCTTATTTGAAACAATTTTCTAAGCATTGCACCGACTGAAATAACTGTTGAACAGTAAAGAAAACTGACTAAATAATGCACTGATTACTCGTTAACCGACCTACATATTCATAATTCAGTCTTAATCACTTTATATATATATATATATATATAGTTTAAATTGTTTCTTAAACTTTTAAAAGGGTTCTAGTCATGTTAAAATTCCACCTAAACAACGATACAAATAGTCACAACAGTATGAAAAATAGATATGAAGAACTTGCACAATTGGTGCTCCTAACACTACGTGATCAAATGCTTAAGATAGTAACATTCAATATTGGCATTTTCAGTCTGAATGGCATCTTATGCACACATGGGTTAAATAGCAGGCAAGAGTCCCTAAGTCGCATATAACCATTCTTAATTTTGAACTGTTGATCACAGGGATGGTAGACAGCAACACCTTTCACTACAGAAGCTTTAAGGAAACCTTGGACCATCTGATCGGCAGTGTGAATAATGCACCAGATTTCCATCAAGAAGACCTAGGATCAAAGAGAATGAAACCAATGGGTAGCACCATCCATCTGAAGTGTACTCATAACTAAGTAGCGGGATTAACTATCTCACTTATAATGAATCTTAAGCTTAAAATGAAAAGGTATTTGGTAGTTCAACATCTCAAACTTGATACCCTCAGATTCCCAGTCCTCTGAATATGCTATCAGTAAGCTACGTTGGGGCCCAGATAAGAAGCAATGAACTTTGAGGTAATGGTAAAATTATGATATAGCAAATAAGTGAAGGTAATTCCATTGTCGTTAAAAAAGCAAAACTTACAATTTGATCAAATAATATAAAACAAATGTAATTGCAAACACTTATTACAATTAAAGAAAAATGTTTTAGCTTGTTTGTTTTCAGCACAATGCCAACTGCTGGTATTGCACTCTAAATTTTAGTGCTATAAGCTGTCAATCTTACCATAAGCTATTCATTCAATTTAGTTTATACAGTTCTAAAATATTGTGTTGGTCAAAGAAGGCATTGAAATTACTTTTGATCTAGCTATATATTATTCTGTATTATTCAGTTAAGGTATTACTGTTGATTTCCCATGCAAATTGTAAAAAGGTAGACAGCAACCTTTTCTACTGGCCAATCAGGTGATGTCTTGAGGTTATGGCCTTTCTCATGTTGAACAGAATGACCAACAGTGATGAATGATAGTATGATAGAAGTATGTATATAATGCTATGCTCTCTCAGTTACCTCTTTAGTTATTAGGATATTTTAAAGAGTTAATGATTTTGTAAGGACATTGCTTTTCACCGCTTCTATTGTTAAGCTGATTCTTTTAGATTACGCGATGAAAATTTTGCAAAGTCCAGTCGACATAACAAGAAATTAGTCTTTTTATAATGTTTCTACAGGCTACATTAACATTGACACACGTTTTAGGCCTAATTTAATAAATAACAGAGCCTGGCATGGCCTGGTGGTTAGGATGTTTGACTCACAATCTGCAGGCCACAAGTTTGAATCCCTGTCCTTTAAGTCATGGGAGTGTTATAATGTGACAGTCAATCCTACTATTTGCTGGTAAAATATTATCTCAAAAGTTGGTATTGGCTAGCTGTCTTCCCTGTAGTCTGTCACTGCTAAGTTAGGATTAGCATTATTCAAAATTAAAAAAAAAGTTTCAATGGAATTCCTCGCTAATGCACA